GATTCCTGAAGAGACTGATCCAAAAATTATAGCGGCAGGGAACCCTTAGTGCATTTGGCACTGAGATTTAAATGCAACCAGAGTTGTTCTCAAGGCCCAGCCATTAAAACATCGTCTCTCTTGACCTTCTGGTATCTTGTCAGAGGGCTTTTCACTGTGAGGAAGTATGGAAATGGCTGTGTGTATGTGTGTAATCTGTTAGGTTGGGGATAGGTTTTCTGTTAGCCAATACTAAAAGAGACCTGCAATAAAATTACCCTGATCTGATAGAAAGTTAAGTGTTTGTGTATGACTGTGTGTGAATGTGTGTTTGTGCCTGTATATATCTACACACAGATGAGAAATTATATTTAAAATTGTTGGAAAATAAATCAACTTCCGATCAAAATGCCTTTCAGGCCCATTACCTAGAAATCTATCTTAAAACCTGGGTATGTTCCTGAAGTCATTTTTTTGCTTATGCTAAATTAGTTACAATTATGAATGGGGGATATTCTACTGCACTTTTAAAAGAAGAAACTATTTTTGTGTTTGAAAGCGAAACCAACATTCAGGTCTATAGCAGAGTCCTAGTTCCCTTCATATAATCTTTTTACCTTGACTACAAATAGATGATGCTATGATTCTACTATATATTTTATATAAAAATCTATCCAAATTAGGGTTTGGTTAAGTTTGTGTTGTTGTTTAACCTGAAATACAATAACTTTAATAATCTAAACAATAGTTCACTCCCTTTGGTCCTTTTTCTGCAGGCTTAATATTGTTTTTAACACTCAGGAACCATTGCAAGGAACTTTCCCCAGATCAAATTCTGTTAATACTGAAGTAAAAGTCACCTACGCTCAGCCACTTATCACACCCATTTTTCCCACTGAAAGGCAGAACTCAGAACCTATTATTTTATGTCTGTAATCATGTACATAGGCATCTTTGGAGGAAAGGGGCAGGATAACTCACTGGAGAGTGCAGTATTTTGCTAGAGCATTTCAAGGAATGGAATCTTTCCCAGTATGAAATGATCAGATAGAAACTAGCTTAATGAAGCTGAAGACTACAAGCTTTTAGAAGGTTATTTTGATATTGTTACTCTCTGGGATGGAATGCTGGTTTACCCTCGACCCCTTCATTAGCATTACTATGAGTGAATTTATATCCATTTCTTTCCACTTGACCTATTTTCTTACCAAGGATGCTCCAGATCCAGTATCTTGTTTGGCCCAACAACTGAAGCAGCAGCTGCTTTTGTCTCCCAGCAACAGTGAGCCACTCAGTCTTTTCCATAGGAACTTTGGAGCCTACATTCCTTGAGTCAGGAGCTTATTGCTGAAAATTCCTTTCCCTGAACTTTTGGCTGGCAAAAATTAATGTAACTGACAGGCATATTGATTCTATTATTTTTTTTCATGAGTTCTTTTCTTATTTAATTTTTTTAAATGACCAAAATTTGCAAAGCAGGGCATGCCCAAGGGAGCGGTAATATTAAAGCACTCATTTCCTTGTCCTTTCAGATTGCCCATTCACATTCATGTACTTATCATTCGACTGTCTCACTCTTTACCCTGAGCAGTAACAACCCACATCTTCCTTCAGGGACCTTCCAGCTGGCACCCTGTTTGTGGGTGCTGTGCAAAATGAAATTGAATGGATATCTCTCAGCCTGGTTCAGAGTAAATAGAACCTTTTATCCCAGAAAGTATAGACTGCAGTGTGGGGTAAAGATTATGGTTGGGGGAGAGTTAGAGACAAAAGCTGTAAATTACTATGGCTGATTGATTTGTTTCTACTATATACATATATATATTTTTTGCTTTTGTATATCCTATATAGGAAACTAAGCATTGTATTTTTTTAACAAATCTGAGAAAGCACTATGAACTGCAGATGTTTGACTTTCAGAATATATTTTGTATTGTCAATATCTTCACATTGTGTGAATACTGGAAGCTGCAGATCTTTGCTAGGATGCAATAAATTTATATACTTTTTGAGGGGTTCTTCTGGGGGTATTAATCAGGCCCCTGTTGTGCTTTTGGGGAGCCCTGGTGCTACTTGCTTAAAGTTTTCATTCAGTTATAAGTACCCTGATGCCTTTTGGACCTTGGGATCAGATCAAACGAGTTTCGCATTTCAGAGATCCAGGTACCAAGGAAATGAAGCTTCCTCAAGTGAGGGGCCCTTTGCATAGCTCTCCTTTCCCCTATTCAAAGCTGGGTAGCCTCTTGAGGTTGGGAGGAGAAATGTGAAATCTCAGAGTTTCATCTCCCTTAGAAGAGAGCCAGTAACTTATGTGCAGGGATGAAAGGTGGCAGCAGTAGCTTTGGGGAAAGGAGGAGGACATGGCACTTCTCCAACCCCGGAAAACATTGCTTTTGAAAACTGCTGATAAAATATGGGCAGGTTGCTTTACTTTTGTTTGAGAGCCTGTGCTCTCTCTGGTGCCTCTTTTGGCTCTACTCCTGGGCTACAGACCTCTTCCAGGAGGATGAGCAGACCAGCTTTGAGGTTGACCTGTTTCTTTTCTTTGTCTGCTTTCCCTAAACACCAGCCCCCAGGGACATTAAACAGCCTTAAGCTTAAATTCCTACTCCCTCTCCCAGATTTGGCTTTCTTGCCTTAGAGTGAAGGCTAGGAAAGGGAAAAAAGGGAGCCCCTGGATTCATTCCTCCCATAGATCTTCTCCAATTTGACTTCCCAGGCCCAAAAAGATTTCCTCCACAATGTTCACTTGAGAGAAATGAGTATATTGTCCCATTTCCCTCTTTCTATATTATCAAACAACCTCAGCCTGCCTTGTGCCTGCTAATAAGTGAGAAGAGGTGTGGTGATTTGTCCCTCAGCTCACTTCAGTATCAGAAAAAAAGCATAACAAATGAGGGTAAGGTGGGGCTGCAGGTAGTGAGGACTGTCGATACCTCACCTGGGGTGTGTGTTTTCTTCTTTCACCTTCAGGAATGACACTGTGCCTTCTCTACAGGGGAATGGGCTTCATATACTCAGCCCTCTAGTTTCCCAGCAACTGCTCTTGAACAGTATGGACAAGGGCAGGTCTTCATATTTCTCCCCTTTCTCCCAATGGCATCCCATAGCCCTCACCTGGAATCTGGGGCACAAAGACTTTGGGGAAAGATGGAAAAATATGCTGAGATTGCCTCGAGGAGTCCCTTTCTACACACACCTATGGCAGCTGCCCCAGGGCCTGCTTCCTCTTCCCAAAATGAGAGTCTCATCCTTTGGGGGGAGAGACAGTGCTCCAGTCTCTGGTGCCTAAAACAAGTTTATTTCTCTCTTAACACTGGCAATAACCTGTCTTCATACCACTGTTGCCTTTTTAAACCTCTTGATAATCTCATGCTGTGTTTGTTGTTGGTTCCAATCGGATCATCACCAGGGCTGTGTGGGGAAATACTTTCAAATGCTTTCATCTTTCTTGTTCTTTTCCCCCTGATTCTGTGTATGTATGATGCTAATCTTTTGTCTTTCAATTTCTTCCTGCTCTTTTGTATCTTCCTTTCTTGTGTCTCCTACCTTTTGTCTCCGGGTATTTTGGGGCTTCCCCCCCCCTTTTTTGTACAAAGATTAGTTTCAATGTAGTCTGTAGCTCCTTTGTAAACCAATTAAAAATTTTTTTTAATAAAAAGGCATGTCTCTGGTGTGTTGAGAGGATTGGGAATGGGGAGACTGTGGATATAACTTCATATACCGAACCTGGCAAAGGATTCCAGTTACACTGTTGTACTCCCACACGTGCTAATCAGCATGATTACCCTACACTTAATTCCCAGGTAGATAGTGTCATGACTAGATCAGTGTGCCATGACTACGTAGAAATGTGGAGGACCAAGAGAAATGGGGCAGCCCCCAATTTTGTTTAATCTTTTTATTTTGGAATACTTTTAAATGTAAAGGAAAGTTACAAATTTAGCACAAAGTTTCCGTATACCCCTTACCTAATTTTCCCCATTGTTAACTTATTATGGTATATTGTCAAAACTAAGAAACCGACATTGGTACATAACCCCAGGCTTTATAGGTTTCACCAGTTTTAACATGGATGTCATCTTTCTGTTCCAGGATCTATTCCAGGATGTCAGATTGCATTTAGTTGATGTGTTTCCCCAGTCTCCGCTGGTCTGTGACAGTTTTTTTGTTTTTCATGACCTGACAGTTTTGGGACGTGTTGGCCAGGTGTCCTGTAGAATATCCCCAAATCTGAGTTTGTCTAATGTTTTTCTCATTATTAGAATGAGCTTATGGGTTTGGGGAAAAAATATCACCCAGGTGAAATGTCCTCATCACATGCTATCAAGGGATCTGTGATATAGCCACATGACATTACTGATGGTAACCATCAGTTGGTTAAGGTAGTGTTTGCCAAGTTTCTCCAGTTTCTCTTTTCCTATTCTTCAGAAGCAAGTCAGTAAATCTGGCCTGCCTTTAATGGGAATTAAGCTTACTCTCCTGGGATGGGGGCAGTATCTACATAGAACATTTGGAATTCTGTGAGGAAACTCTTCTCCCCATTAGTTTAAATTAGTATGCACTCATTTTTTTATACTTGGGTTAATTATTGGGTATATTTATTTTATACTTTGTTATAATCCAATACTACATTGTTCAGATTGTCTCAGCTTTGGCCTTTGCGAGCTCTTTCAGGTTGGCTCCTGTGTCCCTTTGGTATGTCTACATTATTTTTTTGAGCACTTTTTAAACTTTCTGTTAAACAAGATGCTTCAGGTTCATCTTGTATTTTCCCTGCCCCAGCCCTGGAATCAGCCATTTCTCCAAGGAGCGTTGGTTCTTTTTATTGGAGAATTATATTGGAACCAAGATCTAGCCCCAACATATTTTACATTCAGTTAATACCAGCCTGTATCTAACATGATGGGATCTGGATTGTGACATCCCTTCTGAAACTGAAATTGAAGTTACTCTGACAGTCTTTCCAAT